CCACAATGCTCCCCCAGAACCAAGCCGGCATACACAGTCTGATCCCAATGGATCGGCTTGGGGATGTCCGGAGGAGTACTCACGGATCACGGCTCCAAGTCTGTTTGTCTAGACAACCCGTCGGCGTTGCTATTTTGCTTCCCAGGGCGATAGTGGATTGTAAAGTCAAAAGGCTGTAGCGCAAAGCTCCAGCGCAGCAACCTGGCATTGTCTCCTGACACCCTGTTCACCCTGTTTCTTTTTATCCGAGTGTTTTTCATACTACGGACAGAGGAAACATACGAAGGAAATTTACTCCATATCCCACAAGCGGGGATCAAACCGCTGTACGCCTTTCACACCAGACCGGGTTCTAGCTCTTTCAAATGTGAGTTTGCAATCAAGATTTTTATATTTCTACTTCCTCTACTATCAAAATATACTACACTATTTGGTTCTGTATTTGTTTTTATCTCTTGCATATGAGCCGATCCACAAGGAAGATACAAATAAGGACAATTGTTCTGGACCAAGTACCACCATATAATACAACTCCAACAGACGCTTCTAGATAAGACTTTCTCTCCTTTTATCTATTTATTTTATCTAAACTGCTATAATACCCCAAACTGAAGCATAGGCCCATTAAATCCATCTCTCAAAATTCTACTCTGAATACTGAAAAGGACAGGCCTCCTATATGGCACTGTAGCTTCACGAAATAGTGCCACAGACATACAATGGGGGTATTGTTGTACTCAGCAGATGTAGCTGAACACAAAATAAAGTTTTGTACAGGAATAGCACACACCAACTTTACAAAATACACATGAGAAGTTCTTTGTTATAAGTTTGTGTGCCAGAAACCCAAAAAAACTCCAATATTTAGCAGAGTTTGGCGGTGAAATGGCTACGTAGAAAGTGTCAAAACAACCTTAGGACAATAGCCTTATTGATTTTTTTGATTGGGTAACTAAAATTATAGATCAGGGTGGTGCAGTAGACATTGCTTACCTAGATTTCAGTAAGGCTTTTGACTCTGTCGCACATAGAAGGCTTATCAATAAACTGCAATCTTTAAGTTTGGGTTCCAATATTGTTGAATGGGTAAAGCAGTGGCTGAGTGACAGGCAACAGAGGGTTGTAGTTAATGGAATATATTCGAAGCTTGGACTTGTCACCAGTGGGGTACCTCAGGGATCTGTACTTGGACCCATTCTCTTTAATATTTTTATTAGTGATATTGCAGAAGGTCTTGATGGTAAGGTATGTCTTTTTGCTGATGATAATAAGATATGTAACAGGGTTGATGTCCCAGGAGGGATAAGCCAAATGGCAAATGATTTAGGTAAACTAGAAAAATGGTCAGAATTGTGGCAACTGACATTTAATGTGGATAAGTGCAAGATAATGCACCTTGGACGTAAAAACCCAAGGGCAGAGTACAGAATTTTTGATAGAGTCCTAACCTCAACAATTGAGGAAAGGGATTTAGGGGTGATTATTTATGATGACTTACAGGTAGGCAGACAATGTAATAGAGCAGCAGGAAATGCTAGCAGAATGCTTGGTTGTATAGGGAGAGGTATTAGCAGTAGAAAGAGGGGAGTGCTCATGCCATTATACAGAACACTGGTGAGACCTCACTTGGAGTATTGTACACAGTACTGGAGACCGTATCTTCAGAAGCAGGGCCGGCCTTAGGCAATTAGGCGCCCTGTGCAAAAAGTCTTCACGGCGCCCCCCCACCTCCCACCAAGTTGCCTGAATACAGTAACACACACAGGCACCGGGGACGTGTGTATCACGAGGCAAACAAGGCATCTGCCTTGGGCGCCACTTTGCAGGGGGCGGCAAAAAAAAGCATCCCTCCAAACCCCCAGACAGATCCCTTGCTTGCCTCGCATCCTGGGGGGCTCAAGAGCTGACCGGCTGGCCACTTTTGAGCCCCCCCAAGGCTGGCAGCGGGCAGCGAAGGAGCATACTCACCTGAGCTCTTCCTGCTCAGCTTCCTCTGCGCCGCTTAATGAAGCCGGGAGCCAGAATATGACGTCAGTCCGGCTCCCGGCATCACTAAGCGCTGCTTACTCAGCCTGTGCGCCCCCTGCCTGCCTGCCCAGCAGCCACACTGGACTGCTGGTAAGAAATCCACTCCAGCTTTCCCAGGGAGGCTGGGTGGATTTAAAATAAATGTAAAAAATATTAGTTTGTGAGTGTTAGTGGAAATGTCTGTGTGTGTGTCTGTGAGTGTTTATTTTGAAGTGAATGTGTGTGTGTGTGTGTGTGTCTGTAAGTGTGTAATTGTGTGTGTGTGTGTGTGTGTCTGTAAGTGTGTAATTGTGTGTGTCTGTAAGTGAATGTGTGTGTGTCTGTGAGTGAATGTGTGTGTTGGTCAGTGAGTGTATATGTGTCAGTCAGTGAGTGTGTATGTGTCAGTCAGTGAGTGTGTATGTGTCGTCAGTGAGTGTGTATGTGTGGTCAGTGAGTGTGTAAGTCAGTGAGTGTGTAAGTCAGTGAGTGTGTGTGTGTCGGTCAGTGAGTGTGTGTCGGTCAGTGAGTGTGTGTCAGTCAGTGTGTATGTGTCGGTCAGTGGAGTCGTGCATCTTTCAGTGAGTGCTTGCGTCTGTCAGTGAGAGTGTGCATCTGTCAGTGAGAGTGTGCATCTGTCAGTGTGTGTCCAAGTAATAGTGTATGTGTGTATGTCATTGTTTGTCAGTGTATATGAGAGTGTGTGTCTGTCAGTGAGTGTGCGTCTGTCAGTGAGTGTGCGTCTGTCAGTGAGTGAGCGTCTGTCAGTGAGTGAGCGTCTGTCAGTCAAAGTGCGGCCTTGACAGGAAGGGGTGGGGGAAATTTAAACTCGGTTACAGGCATGTACACACACACTTAGTTAAAGGCAGTCACACATACAGGCACAGGCACAAACAATGGCACAGCTACAGCGACACACACAGACAGACAGTCACATAGGCAGTCACACACACAGACAGACACACAGTAACACACACATAGACAGTTATACACACACAGGCAGGCAGTCACACAGATAGAAAGTCACACACACAGGCAGGCAGTCACACACAGACAGATAGTTACAGACAGACACACACAGGCAGGCAGTCACACACAGGCAGTCACACACACAGGCAGTCACACACACAGACAGACAGTCACACACACAGACAGTCACACACAGGCAGGCAGTCACACACAGAGACAGTCACACACACACACACACACACACAAGGACAGGCAGTCACACAGACAGTCACACACACACGCACACAGGCAGTCACACAGACAGTCACACACACACACAGACAGACAGTCACACAAACAGGCAAACAGTCACACACACACACTTACCTCTTTCCAGTGGATGCAGTTGGCTGATGGGGAAGCATCTTTCCCTCTTCCTATACAGCAGGGGCTTCGGGAGGTATTAGCCCCGTCTCCGCCTCTCGATAAGCCCCGCCTCCGCCGCTCGGTAAACCCCGCCCCCTCTGCCGCGATTTTTTTTTTTTTTAAATAGACCCGGGTGGAGAATAATTAATCCTCCAGCCAGGTACCTCTTTTAGCTCCCCTGCACTCCGGCCATGAGTGAGCTGTGTCGGCCACAGGGCGTCCCCTGTTCCATGGCTCCCTGTGCGGTCGCACAGCTCGCACACCCCTAAGGCCGGCCCTGTTCAGAAGGATATTGATACCTTAGAGAGGGTTCAGAGAAGGGCTACTAAACTGGTTCATGGATTGCGGGATAAAACTTACCAGGAAAGGTTAAAGGACCTTAACATGTATAGCTTGGAGGAAAGACGAGACAGGGGGGATATGATAGAAACATTTAAATACATAAAGGGAATCAACACAGTAAAGGAGGAGACTATATTTAAAAGAAGAAAAAATACCACAACAAGAGGACATAGTCTTAAATTAGAGGGACAAAGGTTTAAAGATATCAGGAAGTATTACTTTACTGAGAGGGTAGTGGATGCATGGAATAGCCTTCCATCTGAAGTGGTAGAGGTTAACACAGTAAAGGAGTTTAAGCATGCGTGGGATAGGCATAAGGCTATCCTAACTATAAGATAAGGCCGGGGACTAATGAAAGTATTTAGAAAATTGGGCAGACTAGATGGGCTGAATGGTTCTTATCTGCCGTCACATTCTATGTTTCTATGTTTCTAGCCTGTGATGTCTACTTTATATAAATATATACTTTTGTGTGGCAATTTTGTTTTCTTTTATGGCTATTAAGCTTACAAGACAAACATACCAAATTCTAAAATCGTTCCAAATTAAAAGTCTATTTTACTCCTTGTGCTTTGTGACCTGTAACTACCAAAAAAAACCTTAAAATCCCAGACACATTATATATTCTGTAAATCAGAACAACTAAATGAATTTATTTTTAATTACTTTCCTTAACCTGCACTAATTATGCACACATTATTATTGCAAAAACTGTAAAAAAAAAACAACAACAAAAACACATTTTTCTTTTTTTTTGCATTTTTCTGTATATTTTTAATAATAAATAAGCATTTATATATATATATGTTATATCAAATTAAAGCCCTTTCTGTCCTTTAAAGAACAGTATATAATATGTGTCGGTGCAGTAAACGAGAGAGATGCAAATTGCAGTCGAACGCAAACAGCAAGAAAATGCAAAAACTGCTTGTGTCATTAAGCGTAAGACAAGCTTCTCAAACCGTGTCCTTAAGGGGTTAAGTTAAGTATTTCTATTTATAAATAGTTTGAGTTATTTTGGTGGAAATCCGATCTACCGCTATGCCTTGTTTGAGCATATTCTAATGTCTCTCTTTGCCAAGGATGCTTTTAGTGGTTTGAATACTGATTCCATAGGACGGTCACGTTAAGTTGCCCTTACATAAAATGGAGATCAGGACATTCAGCAAATGATATTCAAAGATGGCAGCTGACAGGAAGTCCCCATTTTGACCCGGAAGTGATGTCAAGTGTTGAGCCGATGACCCGGAAATGCTCAGAGACTCACTCCCATGTGATGGGAACTGGAATCTCAGCATGCTATTTAAAGAACAGAGCACACAGACGGCATTATAGCACTGATGAAGACTGGACATTTCAGGTCGAAACGTGTTTGCGTAATACTGTAGGGTTGTGCAGTGTATAGATTCTCTGTCACTTTTAATTTTATAGTGCATTTTTATTATAATTTTACTGGATTTTTTGACTCTATTAGAGAGGATCTTTCCATATCTCCCCGTGGAATCCTTTAGCCTGCAATAGGCACCCTGAGCCGCTATATACAGAGCCTGGGGCGGCTCTGCAAAGTGTGAGTTGATCTGTCTAAATCATCCTTACAGAGTTTACTATGCATTGCATGTCTGTTTTATAGGTATCATCCCAGGGATTCATTCCATTTTTTAAGTATTCCTTTTGATTTTTTGATTTTTTTAATATAAGGATATCATTATTTCTGTTTTATAGCACTGTGTTGGTATATATACATTATTGTGTGTGAGTAAACTATCTATACATTATCTATCTATCGATAGGTCACAGACACACATTTCTTTGATTTCATTTTATGTAACACAGCTGTTGGGGGGGGGGGACACACGTATATATATATATATATATATATATATATATATATATATATATATATATATAAAATCACATTCAAACCATGATCCCAGCACTCAAGTTCCATGGTCTTTAGAATGCCCCCGGTGCTGGTCTTGAGAAAATTCCGGTTGGACTGAAACATTGATGTATGATTTGTGCTGAATAAAAGCATCTATACTTTCTACAGACCCCAGAGTGCACTTAATAAAAGCAATAACTAAAGAATAAAGTGCTCCAGTACCAAGTGTGTGTGTGTGTGTGTGTGTGTGTATATATATATAGTTGTGGTCGGGGCAATATAGCCGTAATGGTTAGATAACATATGAATAGTAATAATAATATCGTTTACAAACAGAGCGTTGTGGTATGCTGGAACCAACAACGCAGTAGGCCTGTAAACAAGAGGGCCCACCTATAGAGGGTGATGTGAAAGAGGCAGTGGTGGGAGGGTTAACTCGCCAGACCAATCACAGTATGTGAGAGAGGATTGGAGGCCCTTATAAAGGGAACCGCAAGCCCCTCCTACAACTACAGACAGGGCCACCACCAGAAATTTTGGGGCTCCTAACTTAGCTCAGGGTCTGGGCCCCCGGGGGCCCGCATCCAAGCCCACCCACAGGGACCGCCTCCAAATCCAGCCCATAGGTATACACACACACAGACACAAACACCGATACAAAAGGACACAGCTACACACACACAGATACATAATAACAAACACACATACTGAAACAGACATACACGTATATAGGTATACATACTGACACATACTGAGACATACACACATTTACAGACACACAGGCATACATAGTGACAGACAGACACATACTAACATACATCCAGACACACATGCTTAAGGACATACAGATACATACAGACATACATACTGACACCAACATACATTCATAATTACATACATACATGCATACAGACATACTGACATCCATACACACATTCATAATGACATACATTCATAATGACATACAGACATACATACAGTTGCAAGAAAAAGTATGTGAACCCTTTGGAATGATATGGATTTCTGCACAAATTGGTCATAAAATGTGATCTGATCATCATCTAAGTCACAACAATAGACAATCACAGTCTGCTTAAACTAATAACACACAAAGAATGAAATGTTGCCATGTTTTTATTGAACACACCATGTAAACATTCACAGTGCAGGTGGAAAAAGTATGTGAACCCCTAGACTAATGACATCTCCAAGAGCTAATTGGAGTGAGATGTCAGCCAGCTGGAGTCCAACCAGTGAGATGAGATTGGAGGTGTTGGTTACAGCTGCCCTGCCCTATAAAAAACACACACCAGTTCTGGGTATGCTTTTCACAAGAAGCATTGCCTGATGTGAATGATGCCTCGCACAAAAGAGCTCTCAGAAGACCTACGATTAAGAATTGTTGACTTGCATAAAGCTGGAAAGGGTTATAAAAGTATCTCCAAAAGCCTTGCTGTTCATCAGTCCACACAGACTTACATTCATAATGACATACAGACATACATTGATACTGACATACAGACATATATACATACTGACATACATAAACACACACACAGACATACATTGATACTGGCATACATACTGAGAGACATACACACACACACAGAGCTATTTTTTCAGCCACCCTCCTGTTTCTTACCTTTTCTTTGCAGGAGGGTGGCTGGGGCTGATGGGAGTCGGCATGGCTCTCCCTCTTCAAGTCCACGCTGGCTCTCCTCCCGCGCAGAGTGAGCTGGGAGGAAGTGACCACTTCCTCCCTGCAGCACTTGCACTGCATTTTTATTTTATTTAAAACGGGGCCTGACTACAGGCCCTGCCTTAAATATATCTTGTAAAAAAAAAAAAACAGATAAAATTTGTATTTTGTAATACCTTTTTTATTGGAATAACAGAATTTTTTAATGACAAGCTTTCGGGAGAGCCTCCCTTTCTCAAGTCTAAAGCATTTCTGAGCAAGACAACACATAGAATTCAAAGTTGAGTTGTCATACAGGGGTTAAAGCGACATGAGTGCAGATAAGGCACAGGTCTGATAGAAAATAGACACCATTCTTGTGTGAAGATCACAGAGGCGGGGGGGAGAGAGAAAGAGAAGAAAAAACTGTGCAGAAGATGGCGCTAGAAGGGGAAGAGTGAAAAAATGAATTGCTTGTATTAAGAATAGATCAATTTCCATCCAAGAGTTACAGAATATGCATGAAGGCCTGTATACAGCATACACAGATATACACACATACATAGATATACACATTAATGCATACACGCATGCACATATACACAAGTACATACAGCGATATACATATAAATACAACCAAATGCACAAATATATGTACATGCACACCTATAAATACATCCATGCACAAGCACCAATACATGTACCTTCACATATACAAATCTGCCTACACAGACCCATATATATGTACACATACATCTATTCACATATACATACATTCATACCCATTGTACAGCTCTACGGAACCTGATGGCGCTATATAAATAATAATACACACAAATATATATGATTATACATATACATACACCCTTATACATAAACACATATACATGAACCCATATACACAATTATTTGTAAATTAACCCATATATACAATTATTTGTATGTGTTTATGTATATGGCTGCATGTCAGGGCCGTCTTTCCGCATGGGCACGCTGGGCAGTTCCATAGGCCCACAGCCCATGTACTGGGGCCGACAGGGAGATCCTTTGATCTCCCCTGCCGACCCACGGAGAGCCGGCCCTGCTTGCTTGGTTTGGGCCATCTCTGGCCAGTGGGGAGATCAAAGATCTCCCTCACCGGCCCAAAGATCTCCCTTACCAGCCCAAAGGTCCTTTAGAGAGAGGGAGGGAGGCAGAGAGGACCTGGGAGGCAGTTCCTCCCGCCAACAATGCTGGTCTGAGCGTTACCGCACGTTGCCGTGGCAATACTCTGACACGGCATTCTGCTCATGGGAGGAGTGAGAGCCTGCAACCAGAGGAACTGCAGGCTGTAGATTATTCCTCACCACTGGACCACCAGGGTTGACATCCCTTTTCCCTATGCAACTCTGCACCCCACACAGCACCCTTCTCACACACACAGCACCCCACACTGCTGTCTGTCTGTGTGTATTCAGCAGTCTGTGTGTTTGTAATGTATGAATATTGCATCTGTTGAAGGTACCAGCTTATTGAATTAGTTCTGGTGAGTAGAATCATTCCCCTCAGGCTTTTTGCTGTAAACACTGTCTTTTCAGAGAAAATGCAGTGTTTACATTACAGCCTAGTGATAACTTCACTGGCCACTCCTCAGATGGCAGTTAGAGATCCTTCCTGGGTCATGGCTGCCTAAAATGCATCCAAACAATCAGTGTCTCCACCCTCTGCACGCAGACACTGAACTTTCCTCATAGAGATTCATTGATTCAATTCATCTCTATGAGGAGATGCTGATTGGCCAGGGCTGTGTTTGAATCATGCTGGCTCTACCCCTGATCTGCCTCTTTGTCAGTCTCAGCTAATCCTATGGGGAAGCACTGTGATTGGATCAGACCACAACTTCTGATGATGTCAGGAGGCAGGTCTGAGGCAGACAGATCCAACAGCTGGAGACTTGAATACAAGTAAGATTGTACTATATTTAAGGAGGCAAGAGTGGGCCAGGGGGGCTAGATGGTGGTTTTAACACTATTCGTCCACCCATTGTAAAGCGCTGCGGAATTTGATGGCGCTCTATAAATATCATAATAATAATAATATAGGGTCAGCAATACATGTTTGTGTTCTGACCCTATAGTGCTCCTTTAAGCACACTGTAGCAGGTTAAGATACCAAAGGACACACAGCAAGCCTCTGCTACAGTATCCAAATGTCAAAACTTCAAAGACACAATATTATACATAGTAACTATACCATTGCACAAATATAATTTGAATCTCTGGAGATTGTCCCAGCTGGTAATTGCCCAATAGAGCTGAATACCGCTAAGCATTATTTTTGTTGATTACAACAAACCACTTAGGATATACGGTATGTATATCTTTTGGCTCTATTCTAATTAAGTCCTTATAAAGACTTAGAGGACAGATTCAGTCCCCTTTCCAGTCTGACACTTGACTGATTTTTATATTTTGTTTACATTTTTCATTTCTTTTTACATTAGTCTATAATACAGTCCATGTGTTGGGACTTTTTAAAGTGAATAAATTAAAAGTGACGTTTTAAATCATTTACACATTACTTTCCCAATGTATTCCACTTACCGTAATCACAATATTTCATTGCTGCTACCTTCAGCCCTTCTCTCTCTGATATATGTGTAGGTACATGTATTGGTGCATTTGGTTGTATTTATATGTATATCGCTGTATGTACTTGTACAAATACACTACTAACTGTCTCATTTATTGTTAAATCTTACCCTCTGATAATATTGTAAAGCGCCACGGAATATGCTGGCGCTATATAAATACTAGTAATAATAATGTGTATGTGTGTATGCTGTATATAGGCCTTCATGCATATCCTGTAACTCTTGGATGAGAATTCATCCATTCTAAATCTAAGTAATTGTTTTTTACTCTCCCCTTCTAGCACTATCTTCTGCACTGTTTGCTTTTTTTTTTTTTCCTCTCCCCCTCACTCTCTGATCTTCACACAAGATATTTACGACTCTCTGCGACAATGGTGTCTATTTTCTATAGAGATTGTAGCCCTATTAGTCCAGTGATGTAGATGTAAAAAACAGATAATATTTGTATCTTGTAATACCTTTTTTATTGGACTAACAGAATTTTTTTAATGACAAGTTTTCGTGAGAACCTCCCTTTCTCAAGTCTAAAGCATTTCTGAGGAAGACAACACATAGAATTCAAAGTTGAGTTGTGATACAGGGGTTAAAGCGACATGGTGCAGAATTCAAAGTTGAGTTGTGATACAGGGGTTAAAGCGACATGAGTGCAGACAGGGCTGGATTTAAGGCATTGTGTAACCTGTGACCATGGATGAAATGCTGCCTCCCCCTACCCCCCAACAAAACCACATCAACCAAAATATGTCCATTATGTTATGCAGTGTGTGTGGTGGGTGCAGAGTGTGTATTTGTGTAGTGGATGCAGTGGCTGTGTATTGCATTGCGTGTGTGTGTATAATGGATGCAGAGTGTGTGTGTGGATATAGTGGATATAGTGCATTAGTATGTATAGAGGATGTATTGTGTATTTGTTTGCGTGTTGGTGTGTATATGCCATCGGAGCAAATCAATGAATTTAGGAAATATTTAATTAATATTGGACACATACCGACACTCCCTTTTTACCCAATAACTATTCTGAGCGATATTAACATCACAAAACAAATCCGGTGTCTTATTCCACTTTACTATAAACACACACAGTGCTACTTACCTTATATTAATGATGCAGCTTCACAGGTGGGTTTTCCCTTATTGAACAACAAGACACACACAATATTTGGGGATTTAGCTATACATCTGTAAAGGGATCAAATAAGCCACTGAGTAAAAGTACAGTAAAAACCGTTAACTCTGCGCTCCAGAAATATAAGAGTTTGGATATTACCATAAACCTGCACAATCAGCACACCACACGCACTTAGTCTTTTTAAGCCTATATTAATATATAAACATGCAGAATTGTTCAAATGTAAGGACCACTGACTAAGGGACCTACAGGGTTAACAGTCAAGATGTTAAAGAATGCTAACACTCCCACATCTCCTAACGGCCAAGAGAATTTAACTTTCATTTCCTACTTCTGCTTTCAGCGATGGCGATGGCATCTGCAGAACAGAAAGACGAGAAAAGCTGCTCTATCTGCCAAAACATTTATACTGATTCGCTAAACCTGACGTGTAAACATTTTGTCTGCTTGGTCTGCATTGGGAACGTGCTTGACACACAGGACGGATTTGGGGGCTATGAGTGCCCGGTGTGCAGGGCAGAGTTTCAGAATCATCCTGTCCCATCGAAGAAGAGGAAGATATGTAACATCGTAGAGAGTTTGTTAGGCACACAGCCAGAGCAGAATGAGACTGTTATATTATGTAATTATTGTATGAAATCTCAGGTACCTGCTGCTAAAACATGTCTGCTATGTGAAGCTTCTCTGTGTGAGGACCACCTTGAGGTCCACAGCAAGTCAGTAGAACACATCTTAACGGAACCCACCACTTCTTTCGAGAACAGAAAATGCTCCGTTCATAAGGAAATCTTGAAATATTACTGCTTGGAAGATGCTGTTTGCGTCTGTGTATCCTGTAGGCTGGATGGAGATCACAAGGGACATCAGGTGGAATCTCTGAATGAGGCGTCCAAGAAGAAGAAGGAAAACCTGAGAAGAATTCTGCAGACACTAACCTCAAAGAGAACTGAACTTGAGAAAAGAGTCCAGGGCCTGCAGACGGGCAAGAAAGTAGTGGAGAAAAAATCAGTTGGTGTGCTGCGGCAAGCTATTTTCCTAATTAGCTACATCAAAACACATGTGAAAGAAATGGAGAAACAAGTTGTGAGTGAGCTCGCTAAGCAGAAAAAACAGATTTCACTCCCATACTCCGTTCTAATCCACCAACTGGATATAAGGTCTAATAATCTGTCCAAGAAGATAACTCACCTCGAGGAGCTGTGTAACATGATGGATCCATTAACTGTCTTACAAGAACTGCAATCAGACTGTGCTGACTATTGTGATGCTCAGGAGGGAAACAGCAAGGGTATAGACAGAAATGATAAAGAGGTCCACGTTACAGAGGATATGGATATGGGTGTGATCTCCGTGATGGTACACACAAGATTAAATGAACTTGTGACGGGTGTAAAACAAAATATCCAAATGGATGTCTCAGAAGTATTACTGGATGTAAACACAGCTGGTAATCATATAACTGTGTCAGGTGACTTGAAGACCGTATCTTGGTCAGAAGTAAATCAAAGTCACCAAGAATCACCAAAAAGATTCCAAAATAACCAGATTTTAAGCATCACACGATATTCTTCTGGACAACATTACTGCCAAGTGGAGACTAGTGAAACAAATGGATGGAAAATTGGGATGGCCTATCCCAGTATAGACCGGAAAGGAGATCAGTCAAAAATTGGGTACAATAAGAAATCCTGGAGTTTGGGCATTTGGAATAACCGGTATTCTGTGATTCATAATGGGAAAGTAGAACGGTTATGTCATGGTCCTTCCTGCCAACGGTTAGGGATCTATCTGCACTATAAAGCTGGGTGCCTGTCGTTTTATGAGCTCTGCAATCCAATTAAGCATTTATACACCTTTACCACCACTTTCACCGAACCTCTTCACGTTGCTTTTTGGTTATGGAAAAATACATGGCTGAGAAGCAAGAATTAGGAGAGAGAGTGTTGCGTTTATTTTTATATTTTTTCTAGATTGACCTGAGGTACATGGTTAATCCAAAAATGGAAAACTAGTATATGTATTTGTCAATAAATTCTGAACTAGTCAATACAGAGGTTGTAATTTGCCCCCTTCAGAGTATGGACCAGGGGCTGAGAAGGCTGGCAAAGCAACATGGGCGTTGTAATACCTTTTTGTCAAACTTGGTCTGGACTCTTTAGGTTTTAGCAAAAATTAAAAAAAAATCTTCTAAGATGTTAAAAATATTCAAAAGCATTAAAAGTTATTTAAAACATTTAAAAAGACACTACAGTCACCATAACAACTACAGCTTAATGTAGTTGTTCTGGTGTCTACTGCCTTTCCTTGCAGCCTTTTAATGTAAACACTGGAGGGGCTTCCTGGGTCAGTGCTGCACAATGTGCAGTACTGACATTCAACATCTACACGCCCTGCATGGAGGCGCTGAACATTCCTCATAGAGATACATTGATTCAAGGGAAAGCACTGGATAGGCAGAGACTGACAATTTTTATGGTCTCAGCCAAGGGGGCCAGCCACGACAGATGCATGCAGTGCTCGAAGAAAGGTGAGTAAACTCCCCTTTTACATTCCTGTCGGGGGGGCCTAAACATTGCTTTCACAGCTATAGTGACAGGAATACATATTTTTACTCCTGTCACTATAGAGCTCTTTAAAAAATAAGTAAAATAAAAAAAGTTATCACTTGAAATTGAAGTTGCCCTTAGTCAACAGTTCTCCAACTGAGAAATACTGCAAACTAGACTGACATTTCCCACTCCAAACCATCACAGACAGTTTTCAGTTGGTTTATTTGTACAGCCCCACATTAAGTCAAATTGTGGTTAAAAAAACATGAAACATTAGAGGGATTTTTTTATTATGTTTATATCTTAAAGGAACACTATAGTCACCTAAACAACTTTAGCTAAATAAAGCAGTTTTAGTGTATAGATCATTCCCCTGCAATTTCACTGCTCAATTCAGTGTCATTTAGGAGTTAAATCACTTTGTTTCTGTTTATGCAGCCCTAGCCACACTATGATTGACAGAGCCAGCATGAAAAAAAAAAAAACTGGTTTCACTTTCAAACAGATGTAATTTACCTTAAATAATTGTATCTCAATCTCTAAATTGAACTTTAATCACATACAGGACGCTCTTGCAGGGTCTAGCAAGCTATTAACATAGCAGGGGATAAGAAAATCTTAATTAAACAGTACTTGCAATAAAGGAAGTATAAACATTAGATGACTCTTTACAGGAAGTGTTTAGGAAGGCTATACAAGTCACATGCAGGGAGGTGTGACTAGGGTTCATAAACAAAGTGATTTAACTCCTAAATAGCAGAGAATTTAGCAGTGAGACTGCAGGGGCATGTTCTATACACCAAAACTGCTTCATTAAGCTAAAGTTGTTTTGGTGACTATAGTGTCCCTTTAATTCAGTGGTAGAAAGAGGATCCAGGCACTCCAAGTATCTTCAAACGTATTTATTAGGACAAATGAGACCCTGCAATGCGTCAACCGCTGAAAGTGTCTTTGTCAAGCTCTTATCACAGACCCTTTCAGGGGTCGAAATGTTCTAATAAATACATGTGAAGATACTTGGAGTGCCTGGATCCTCTTTCTACCACTGATATCTACTCGCTGGGGCTGGTGTTGGCACCCGGATCTTCACGTGATTGGAGTGTGGTTTTTTGTTAGTTTGTTCCTTCTCTTTTTGCATATATCTTAATTCAGTACATATCTTAATATTTGTAGTTTTTCAGAATTTATTTGCTTATTTTTCTCCATTGCTATATGTTTGTATTTGTAAGTTACTTTTTATTTTACAAATAAATGTAGACTTTTAAAAAATGGATTGTTATGCTTTTATTAGTGTATTTGGATAGTAAGTACATCCCAGGTAAATGCTCTGATTATTTTGACCGAGAGAGTGTGGGCTGCCATTTTATGTAGATACATTTAAATTGCTTACTAGAGTAGTTTCCCATGACGCCTCATTTTGTTTATTGTGTATATTCTGTTAATGTTTAAGGGCTGTAAACTGGAATATAGGAGTGGGCTCAGTTACTTTAACTGTGGAGGAGTCACATCGTGTTATCTTCCCAGTAGTGTGTTCGACCTGAAATGTGATACAATTATTGGAAAGATTATCAATGCCAGGTTCCGAACGAGGGAGTTCGGTCGCTGATCTTATGTGGTATTTGTAACGGATCACCTGGCACCCCGACTGGTAACACCTTTAGTAACAACTTTAGGTGCAGTCTCTCAGATGGCCGCTTGAGGTGCTTCCTATCCCAATCCTGCAAAGTGTGCAGCAACTAAGGGAAAGCATTGGATTGGCTGAGATCATGAAGATTGGAGGCGGGGCCAGCTGTACCAAGGGAGAAAAGGTAAGTTTAATCACCTATTATTTCACTATGAGGGGAACTGGTGACCTAAACTGCTGCTCTATCACTCTAGTTTAAGGAATCCATGTTTGGATGCCTAACACTATAATGTTCCTTGAAAGCAGCACTCATACCGCGCTTTATTTAATCATCACATGGGATAACGCTGCAATGATCATGGAATCTCCTGGAGCTATCCTCCATTTTCAATTAGATCTACACCTACCTAAGATCCTTGGGCTCCTCACAGCCCAGCCCCCTCATCCTACATCCATATTCGTGATATTAATTCCACCCATGTTTGGATGGAATTCATTGATTCAGACCATTAGCTAATGCTACCAACCAATGATTTCCACCAATATAGGAACAAAGCTGACATACATAAAGCAGTTCTGCTTTAAAGGGTTAATCCAAGCACCATGACTACTTCAGTGATTTTAAGTCGCCATGGTGCCTGGAGTCTGAATGCAGAGTCATTTGGGCATCATTATTCAGCCTGGAACAAGGTATTTCTATGCACAAATGCACATTCATTGGTTGCAGCTCTGCAAAAGCTGAATGTCATTTATAGAGATGTCGTGAACTGTCCGCTGGCGAACAATAGCGTGTTCGCGTTGGGCTAACATATCAGATTTCCGGTCAGCCCCCTATACGTCATCATTGAGTAAACTTTGACCCGGAACCTCACAGTCAGCAGACACTTCCTGGGAGGGAGGGTCTGCTGCTAATTGGCTGGAATGTGTCTGCTGGCTGTGGGGTTCCGGGTCAAAGTTTACTCAATGATGACGTATAGGGGGCGGACCGGAAATCGGATATGTTCGCCCAACGCGAACACGCTATTGTTCGCCGGCGGACAGTTCGTGAACAGTTTGGCGGACAGTTCGTGACATCTCTAGTCATTAACCTGCCTACAGAGGAAACCTGGCAGCCAGCAGGAACTCAGGTAAGAGGGCACACCATTGCAAAATGGTTTAACCAATGATTGGTAAACGGGGCCAGAGTACTTCTGCCACCATAACCGCTACAGTGGGATGGAATGGTTTGTAAGGTTGGACTAACCGTTTAAATATATCAGAAAAGGGACTAGACTACATGTCATTTGTAAATCGGATTTAAATATTACTTGCGTGATGACACCAGGAACTATAACCACTACGGCTTGGGGGATAAACCTGCTGGCTGCAAAACTCGCTGTTTAAACAGTTTCAAAAGGCTCTCCTCAAATGAACGCTTTACAGGGAGTACTTCTAATGAGTACAGCGGTGTACGCCCAACCCACGATATCTGGTCAGAACTCGAGATACACATAGTAAAAACAGAACCTAGGACCTACATATCTTATTAGTCACGCTGCTGTTCACATAAAAAGCATAACCATCGAACAGAACTCAGAACCATTATATAACTTATTCTCCATATTTTGTACCTGAACAATGTTATGTATGTTTCACTGTTCCCTTATTGTGCACAATGAATTGGAGCTAGCGGCAGTGTCACTTTAAGGAAAATGCCCGGCTCCCACATCATATCAGATGACCAGTCCTATCACCTACCTAGAGAAGCAGTGGCTGATTCTAGATTCCAAAGATTCCTATGATATCACTGCTGGGAGCTCATGATCATGTGACAATGTGGGGAATTTGGGAACTAGAGAGCTCAGACAAAGACTTTGGAGATTTAAGGGACACAGCCTTTAACGTAACAGTTTCTCTTTAGGTAAAGCATGTTATGTGAGATTCTGATATTGGTATGTGTGTATTCCTTTAAAATAATACACGTGTGTTTCACTTTAAGTTGCAATCGCCGCTAGATGCATTGTTTCAAGGTAGACAGTCGGTGATTCCATGCACTGTGAATGTATCTAAATCCTTTGCTACTTGACCCCATAACTTTTCCTGAAGGAATTCCTTCTCTGGGCCCCTCCATTTAAACAGCAAGGTCGGGTGTTACTGCAGCTGCTTCTGCTCCAATCTCCTGGATTCCACGTCCGGCTTTAATAACAGACAGCTTCTTGGACATCCCTTATCTGCTCTGCACGATTACTTTTTAGAAAGATTTGTAGTTCCGCCTCACATTTTAGCTATAAATGTCATAATACTACAAAAAAATGCACATATTTGTAATCACCAATGTCTCACGAGTACAACAGTACCCCCCATTAACAGGTTTTATGGTGTTTTGGAAAGTTACAGGGCAAATATAGAACGTTACATTTTCACATTGAAATTTGCCAGATTAGTAATGTTACCTTTGAGACGGTGTGGTAGCCCAGGAATGAGAATTACCCCCATAATGGCATACCATTTGAAAAAGTAGACAACCCAAGGTATTGAACGTGGGGTATGTTTAGTCTTTTTTAGTAGCCACTTAGTCACAAACACTGGCCAAAGTTAGCGTTCATATTTGTTTTTATGTGAAAAAAGCAAAAAAAACTAATACTTGGCCAGTGTTTGTGACTAAGTGGCTACTAAAAATGACTGTACATACCCCATTTGCAATACCTTGGGTTGTCTACTTTTGCAAATGGTATGCCATCATGGGGATAATTCTTATTCCTGGGCTACCATACTGTCTCAAAGGCAACATAACCAATCTGGCTAATTTCAATGTCAAAAAAATGTCAAAGTCTTATATGTGACTCTCTAACTCTCTAACTTTCCAAAACACCATAAAACCTGTACATGGGGGGTACTGTTATTCTCGGGAGACTTCACTAAACACAAATATTAGTGTTTTAAAACAGTAAAACATATTACAACAGTAATATAGTCCATAAAAGTGCCGTTTGTTTGTAAAAAAAAATTCAAAAAACTTCACTTTTACTTAAAATATCATCGTTGTAATACAATTTAACAGTTTTAAAACACTAATATTTGAGTTCAGCGAAGTCTCCCGAGTAAAACAGTACCCCCTATGTACAGGCTTTATGGTATCTTGGAGAGTTACAGGGTCAAATATAGTGCTTGCGAATTAAATTCTCTGCACTTTCTCCCTGTGTTGTCAGGCATGTCAATCAAATTTTAATTAATCAAATCACATAATTATGTTAAAAGATTACTTAAATATACACTTAGAATTTTAATATATATGCATTTATAGGTATTTAAATTCTACGTGTATACTAATGTAATCTTTTATGTAATTATATGTATTTATCTATCTATATATATACATATATATATTTGCGGTTATTTGTATTTTATATATAGAATTTATATTAAATTTTGTTTCAATATTTTATTTATTTTATTATTCTATTTATTTATTATTGTGATTATGCATATATATATATATATATATATATATATATATATGTGTGTATATATCTATTATATTTACAGCACGTATAATAGGTGTCATGTATAATATAAATACAGTGTTATACATATATATACAGTGCGTATAATAGGTGTCATGTATAATATAAATATAAATACAGTGTTATACATATAATATATATATACAGTACGTATAATAGGTGTCATGTATAATATAAATATAAATACAGTGTTAGGATTAGTGGTAGGGTTAGGGTAGTGGTAGGGTTAGGGTAGGTTTAGGGAAAGGGTAGGGTTAGGGTAATGGTAGGTTTAGGGTTATGATAGGATTAGGGTTATGGTAGGGTTAGGGAGCCTTCCAGATGTTCAGAATTCCAAAGTCCCGAATTGCGGAAGTCCCAAATTGCCGAAGACTCGAATTGCTGAAGTCCCGAACCGAAGTGCCGAAGTCTCAAATTTTGGAAGTCCCGAACCGAAGTCCCGAATTGCCGAAGCCCCGAATTTCAGTAGTGCTGAACCGAACCAAAATTTTGAATCATGCACATCCCTAAAATATAGTGTTACATATATAATATACAAATACAGAACATATAATAGGTTTCATGAATAATATAAATACAGTGTTATAATAGGAGATAGAATCAGTACAATTATAGATTCAATGATATACATTTCATTTCAAGATTCCCACAAGTGAACCTCCCTCTTTGTTATCTTTGTATTCATGTGTAACTGTATTACAGGCTTGTCTAGTAACTAATGGAGAGAAAAAAATGGGTCGCAAGAGTATTCTGAGAACGGACAGCAACTGAAATAGCCTGCCCTTCGGTGGGTCCCCGCTCAGAACTCAAGCTGGTTTTACCTCAACTTGTGTCATTACAGAGAGAACATATCTGAAGCATATCAGACTGGTCCCACCCATACGGGCAGTCCAGATCCGAAATGCCAGCAAGTTCTCTCTGCACGAGAGACACAGCAACCCCAGACGATCGTTTCAGTCTTGTTAGGCATCATCAGTGAGGCATAGCTGATATCTCTCTAGGCACTGTGAGCAAGTAACTATGTGTTCTATCTAGCCCTGCCTGAGATTTATTGTGTTTCTCTCCTGCATTTACAGCTTTGCGTGGCGTGATATGAACTCTGTGATCTATGAAACAATCCACAATATGAGCCAGAACTGACCTCATTGGACCAGCCATGAAAAGACTTGCACTGGTAGACTGATGCTCCTAAAAGGAAACTTTTTTTTTTACCTCACTGTTCATATGGTCTTGCTCTAAAATGTTGTGCAGGTAGCATGGGAACTTAGGAGGGATGCAGGGCAACAAAATTCTGGAGGACTGGCTGGCTATAAAATAACTTGAAACTGACTTTGTTTACTGTGCAAATGGTTTGCTGTTTCTACTTGTCATACAGCCCCACACCCTCCAGTCATCATGTGTCAGTGTACATGTCCGCTTTTCGCCACACTCAATACATCCACCTATTTCTCTATCCATGTCTGCTAGTAAGAAGGGAAGAGAGGAGTGGACAATTGAGTGCCGAGAGGAACGGTTCCAAATTTGTAATAATTGAGAGAGAGATGTGAGCTGTGGGGCTTGTAAGATGGACAGATAGATGGGCTAAGAGACGGAAGATAGAGACGACAAAGGCTGTATGTAGACTTAATATGTCTCCTGTAAGTGTTTCTCCAGCACCACCTCCACCAGATACAAGAAACATGGGAGGTTTGGTTATTTTATTGTTTTATCTATAAGATTCAATAATTAATTCTGCCCGCATTGTCTGGCCTGAATTCTTCTCAACAACAGAATTCTGATGTGGATCAGTTAAGCATAACTGTATGGAGTCTGCATTTCACACATTGCTGCACTGTCATTACATTTTCACTTCTAATTTTTTTTTAAAGTTTATTACATTTAATTTAAGCAATGATATTTTTTTAAATGATATGATATATATTGATTTGTTTTTAAAGAAAATTGAGGTTTTAAATCGGGCAGTTATGTTAGTTCAGACTCTGCTATCATCTGCTGTTCAGCCTAACTTTCCTGCTGCTGCAGTTAGCTTACCGGTCTTCAACACAATTATCTCCCAGGCCCAGAGATTCCTAGGAGGGGCTTGTATTAAATACAATGGAGACCCACTCCTGGGGTCTGTGCATAAAAGGCAGAGTTTGGCTCATTAAAATCAGTAGTAGTCCCAGAATTATGTGTCGTCTAGTTACTGGGAGAAGAAATGGCTAATCCAGGTCACACAACAGGTAGATCCCCAGATGTTATAGAACTACAACTCTCATGATGCTTTTAGAATGCATTTAGAATGATAAAGCATCATGTGAGTTGTAGTTCTACAACATCTGGGGATCTACCTGTTGGGCAGCCCTGGGCTAATCACTGCTCAGCACCTTGTTCCAGCTCGTGGAGGCTTCAGCTGGGAAAATCCTTGTAAGGTCTACAGCTCCCAGGACTGTGTTTTATCCAGTCCCTGGGAGAGAATAGAGCTAGTCCCCTAACCTGCTCCAGGACGGAGAGGCTCCAGGAGGTCACCAGTCAAGCCACGGAAACTGGGGCAGAAGAGGGCCGGTTTTTCCTGGTTCCAGCTAGGAAGCGGTCATTGGTGGAGGTACCCAGCCAGGGGAAAGGGAGCTCCACTACACTATGGACCCTAAAAAGTGTTCCAGCAATCTAAAGTGCTTCATGTGTGAACAGAGTGTCCTTTTTTTCATTTTACAAAAAATGCAGATTTCAATAGAAATACATTTTGTTACGTCCCCTGGCTGTCAACCATTCAACTGATCCTGTTACTTCCCAGTTGTTTAGCTCAGTGGAACCGAACTCAAGAGGCAGCAATTGCTCAGGGCACCTGCCTTGTAGGGACTTGTCATTGTGCTGCACTGGGAAGTCTGTGATTGGACAGCCATAGAAAGTGTGGGTGAGGTTAAAAAGGAGGGACCTTCAAAGATGACAGACAAGAGATCTGAAGCTTTTACAAGCCGATTTTAGTTATACCCTAGTGAACAAAAAATGCAAAACAAATAAAAAATAAATTCATGCATGTTTTCATTGGTGTATGTCTACTTAAAACTGTGTTTGTTTTTTATTTGGGCAGTGGAGAGTCCCTTTAAGTTTTCTAGTAACGTCAAAAGCAGGAACAAGCCACTGCCCTGTATAATGTCCCGAAATATGAAACCACTGCCCTGCATAATGTCCCGAAATATGAAACCACTGCCCTGTATAATGTCCTGAAATATGAAACCACTGCCCTGTATAATGTACCGAAATATGAAACCACTGCCCTGCATAATGTCCCGAAATATGAAACCACTGCCCTGTATAATGTCCTGAAATATGAAACCAGTGCCCTGTATAATGTCCCGAAATATGAAACCACTGCCCTGTATAATGTCCTGAAATATGAAACCACTGCCCTGTATAATGTCCCGAAATATGAAACCACTGCCCTGTATAATGTCCCGAAATATGAAACCACTGCCCTGAATAATGTACCGAAATATAAAACCAGTGCCCTGTATAATGTCACGAAATATGAAACCACTGCCCTGAATAATGTACCGAAATATAAAACCACTGCCCTGTATAATGTCCCGAAATATGAAACCACTGCCCTGAATAATGTACCGAAATATAAAACCACTGCCCTGAATAATGTCCCGAAATATGAAACCACTGCCTGTATAATGTCCTGAAATATGAAACCACTGCCCTGCATAATGTCCCGAAATATGAAACCACTGCCCTGTATAATGTCCTGAAATATGAAACCACTGCCCTGTATAATGTCGTGAAATATGAAACCACTGCCCTGAATAATGTACCGAAATATAAAACCAGTGCCCTGTATAATGTCCCGAAATATGAAACCACTGCCCTGTATAATGTCCCGAAATATGAAACCACTGCCCTGTATAATGTCCTGAAATATGAAACCACTGCCCTGTATAATGTCCCGAAATATGAAACCACTGCCCTGCATAATGTCCCGGAATATAAAACCACTGCCCTGCATAATGTCCCGAAATATGAAACCAGTGCCCTGTATAATGTACCGAAATATAAAACCACTGCCCTGTATAATGTCCTGAAATATGAAACCACTGCCCTGAATAATGTCCCGAAATATGAAACCACTGCCCTGCATAATGTCCCGAAATATGAAACCACTGCCCTGTATAATGTCCCGAAATATGAAACCACTGCCCTGTATAATGTCCTGAAATATGAAACCACTGCCCTGAATAATGTACCGAAATATAAAACCAGTGCCCTGTATAATGTCCCGAAATATGAAACCACTGCCCTGTATAATGTCCCGAAATAGGAAACCACTGCCCTGAATAATGTACCGAAATATAAAACCAGTGCCCTGTATAATGTCCCGAAATATGAAACCACTGCCCTGAATAATGTACCGAAATATAAAACCACTGCCCTGTATAATGTCCCGAAATATGAAACCACTGCCCTGAATAATGTACCGAAATATAAAACCACTGCCCTGAATAATGTCCCGAAATATGAAACCACTGCCTGTATAATGTCCTGAAATATGAAACCACTGCCCTGCATAATGTCCCGAAATATGAAACCACTGCCCTGTATAATGTCCTGAAATATGAAACCACTGCCCTGTATAATGTCCTGAAATATGAAACCACTGCCCTGAATAATGTACCGAAATATAAAACCACTGCCCTGTATAATGTCCCGAAATATGAAACCACTGCCCTGTATAATGTCCCGAAATATGAAACCACTGCCCTGTATAATGTCCTGAAATATGAAACCACTGCCCTGTATAATGTCCCGAAATATGAAACCACTGCCCTGCATAATGTCCCGAAATATAAAACCAATGCCCTGTATAATGTCCCGAAATATGAAACCACTGCCCTGCATAATGTCCCGAAATATGAAACCAGTGCCCTGTATAATGTCCCGAAATATGAAACCACTGCCCTGCATAATGTCCCGAAATATGAAACCACTGCCCTGCATAATGTCCCGAAATATGAAACCACTGCCCTGTATAATGTCCCGAAATATGAAACCACTGCCCTGCATAATGTCCCGAAATATGAAACCACTGCCCTGTATAATGTCCCGAAATATGAAACCACTGCCTTGTATAATGTCCTGAAATATGAAACCACTGCCCTGCATAATGTCCCGGAATATAAAACCAGTGCCCTGTATAATGTCCCGAAATATGAAACCACTGCCCTGCATAATGTCCCGAAATATGAAACCAGTGCCCTGTATAATGTACCGAAATATGAAACCACTGCCCTGTATAATGTCCTGAAATATGAAACCACTGCCCTGAATAATGTCCCGAAATATGAAACCACTGCCCTGCATAATGTCCCAAAATATGAAACCACTGCCCTGCATAATGTCCCGAAATATGAAACCACTGCCCTGTATAATGTCCCGAAATATGAAACCACTGCCCTGTATAATGTCCTGAAATATGAAACCACTGCCCTGTATAATGTCGTGAAATATGAAACCACTGCCCTGAATAATGTACCGAAATATAAAACCAGTGCCCTGTATAATGTCCCGAAATATGAAACCACTGCCCTGTATAATGTCCCGAAATATGAAACCACTGCCCTGTATAATGTCCTGAAATATGAAACCACTGCCCTGAATAATGTACCGAAATATAAAACCACTGCCCTGTATAATGTCCCGAAATATGAAACCAGTGCCCTGTATAATGTACCGAAATATGAAACCACTGCCCTGTATAATGTCCCGAAATATGAAACCAGTGCCCTGTATAATGTCCCGAAATATGAAACCAGTGCCCTGTATAATGTACCGAAATATGAAACCAGTGCCCTGTATAATGTACCGAAATATGAAACCAGTGCTGATCGAGGATTAACATATCCAAATGTGGCTGAAATAAAATACTTTTTCAGAAGACTTGCATTATTGTTGCTTTACTGACCGAATCACTGACTGAATGTCTTTTAATCAAAATGTTTCGAACGATTCCTTTAGGGTGGGATTGTATTTTTTTGTAATATCTATTGTAGGTTGCACATTATGTGACGTTATCGCTGTTGGTGATATGGGACCATTAATAATGGTATGTAAGCTAGCCTCTATAATAGTCTTAGTACACTGTCTATCCCCTTTTTATTTTCCTCCCATATTTAACCTGATTTCTGCTCTGCTGTAGATAGTTATTTAGTGACGTTAGCCATATGTAGGCTCACGCCAGAGTTTGTTCAATATATTTTGTATTATTTTGTTGCCATTCTCACCTGGTCTATCACCAGAAGAGCTGGTTCACCAAGGTTAGTTTAAATGATTCACTGAATCTTTTTGGGACAATTTTCTCTGGCTTTTTTAGCATCAAGGGACACCTTGTATAAGACCCTGGTGAATTGCTCCCTCTGAGAAACGGCACTTAGACCTCTCTGTATTCTAGCTAGTTAATCGTTTATCATCTATCACATTATGACTGTATTTAGGCTTGAATTGCCCTTCCCTATTTTGCAGTCGAGTCCAAGGGCTGTTTAATTGTGTATTTTGTAGTCCTACCATCATCCCATTAAAGTTTATTTATTTTATGTTTATTAAATGAGGGGATCTCTTAGCTAGACATATCTGTCTAATTCTGTATATATTTCAGTAGTTGTTGTGGGTTATCACCACTAGAGGTCTCTTTAGCGCAATTCTTAGTTCCCTTGTAGTGCTTTAGCATATTTCTAAAGTGAATGTTGCTGATTGTTAAAGAAAATGTATTCGAGACATGTGATTAAAATGGTTTCTAATTGATATTACACATTTGTGTAAGGAGCATATAGCCGTATATGGAGTAAGGTTCCAGCATAAGCGTAGGATTGGAATAAGGCGAGCAAGTCGGTTGTGGTGTGCCGAGACCGACGATATGGTAGGCCTGTAAATAAAGAGGGCAAAAAAAGAATAATCAAAGATTTAATACAGTCAACAATATATACAAATTAACCAGACATTTCCTTAAATGCATTACGGTATTTAATTCCTGGAAGGATTTTGAATGTAGGAATCTAGGACCACAACTGGACACCATTTGTTGTGGGTAGGATAGTATGTTGTTATCTTTACTGTTGGTGCGTGTTGACTCGTTTCGGAATATGGTAGAGCCAATAGTTAATGATATATGTGTTTACATACGTGGGATCGTTGAAGACAATGATCTGTCTGAGTGGTGGTTATGGTAGTGGATTCTCTGGCCTGAGAAAGGCATAAAAGGCAGTGTGTGCATGGCTGGTAATGGCCGACTTGGTAGTATAATTGAATGGTTGTAGCTCTAATAGGTCCGATAAGGATGGAAAAGTTGGATGGCTATTGGTAATATCTGAGAGGAACGTGGGGGGATGGATTCCTGAAAACCTCTGAGTATATTCTTGTCTGGTATGATAGCATGAAGTTATGGTAGTTTTGGCCATAGGTTATCCTGTGTTGTTGAATGCCTGTAAAATATATAATTAATGGTGTGTGAGATGGTTTTAGTTTAAGGTGGCAAAAATGAAGCAAAACCTAAGAGAAATGTTATGACACAGGTTGAGCTATGTCGTGTTCCAATGAGATTCTTTAAAGCCAGGTGAATAGCTGTGTTATGCGTTCTACAAGTATGGGACGAAAGTGCTAGGTGGGATAGTGCATGCTATGCTGCATGAGTATGTCTAATCCATGATTTTGTCTCTGGAACGAAAGAGTGGCCGTGACTGTATGGGCGGCTGTAGGAAGCGTATGATGAACTTGCCTGGAATATAAATGAGACAATTGTCGGCAGGGATGTATACCCCCACCTGGTACATGAAAGTAAAAGAAATGTGATAAGTGGCCAACCAAGTGAGTTCCCCAGCAATACCATGATCGAATGGATGATGAGTGGCATTTGTTGATGATATGACATGTGCTTAGTTGTCTGAGTAACAACGGATTGATGACCCTGACCATGATTTACCCCATGCCACAGCAGCTGCTTTTAGCGGGGAAAGGA